TGGGTGTGCCCGTGTTCCATGATGGGTCAGTGCCGTTGGGACAGTGACGACAGCGGGTGGGAACAAGATCTGAGCTCAGAGATGCGTGCGGAGGCGCATCATGAGGGCCCAAGGGCCAGGGCGAGGAGCTTCAATGTTATTCTACACTGGGAAGCCTTTGGTGGGACTGAAGCAGGACAGTGGCACCATCTGATCTCGGTTGTAGAGAATGGATTATAAAGAGGGTGGCTTCGGAGTGGCGAGTTGGGGACCCATCAGGAATGGCTGGGTTCAGGCCAGAGATGATGCCTGCATGGACCGGGGTGGCGAATACCGAAGTGTTTGGAGGAAGCTCAGTGGGCCCTTCCGAAAGTTGGGGTGTGGAAAGAGAAGAGGGTCTGGGAGCATCTGGGAGTCAGATGGGGGAAGGTGGTGGTTTTCCTATACCATTTTTGACTGTTCCACCTTCTTTGCTAGATTGTCAACCAGTAGGGCTTAAAATCCTGCAGCTCCTGGGGCTCTTAACTCAAGACCACTTATCTCTCAGGTGATCTCATCAAAACTTATAAAGTCAAGAGTCGCTCAAGCCAGAGACACCTTGAAAGCCCTCTCCACTCTTCAAACCCCCACATCCATTCAAGAACTGGATGCTCTACATGGTAGATCTACCACATCCGCCAATTTCTCTCCATCTTCCCTGATCCTGGTGTATCTCCTCTAGATCGCTCCCATATTTGTCTGTCTCTTACTTCCACCATAGCCCCCGCCCCACTTACCCATTTTTCACACAACTGCCAATAAATCAGACTCTGCCACTCCTGATTAAAGCACTGGCTTCCCACTGCTCTTACGGATCAAGTCCAAATCTTTACCAGAGCCTACAAGGTGAGATGGGGTCCCCACTGTACCATCCCCGCCCTTCTCTGTCATCGTCCATACTCTAGGATCCCTTCATGTTTCTCAAAAATGTCCCTGCCTCCATCCTGACTCTGATAACTCTGCATATCATCCCCTGTCCTACAAGGACCTTGACTTCTTTTGGTGCCACGACCATCTGCTGTCCTTAAAGGCCACTTCCTCACAGAAACCCTCTACTACTCAATTCCTAGTGAGCTCTTCTTAGCACTGAAGCCTTATCTGAGTAATGACTCCATGGAATGGGTGCTTCCCTGGAAGACTGTGAGCCTCCAGAGGACAGGGGTCCCGCGGGCTTTGCTGAGCACTCGGCATACGTGCAGCCTCACGTGGCAGACGTGGCCCTTCCCAAGTATACAGTGAGTGAAGGAGGACTCCTGCTAACACTGTGCCTGTTGAACGGGAATGCCTGAGAAGAGACACAGCACAGTGAAAAGCCAATCATTTTCATTATACTGATGGTCTCAGAAACTGATGAATTAACCACCTGTCAGCCTGGACTACTGGAAGTAAAATGGCGGCCTCATTCATATCTTTTCTATTCTCTGTCCCACATGAAGAATCTGGTTTATTTGCCCAATACCCACTGAATAATCCTGGTCACTGAGACAATGCCAACCAAACTCCACTTCTCCACCTGCTCCCGTGTGACACCCAGCCCCAGCCTTCAGGGAAAGGCTGTAGGGTTGGCAACTACCAAACTGCTAAGAACTAATGGGCGCCTGGGGGGCTCAGTCAGTTGAGCATCTGACTTTGGCTCAGGTCATGATCTGGCGGTTCATGAGTTTGAGGCCCACGTCGGGCTCCGTGATGACAGCTCAGAGACTGGAGCTGCTTCGGATTCTGTGTCTCCCTCTCTCTCTGCCCCTCCCCTGCTCGTGCTCTGTCTCTCTGTCTCTGTCTCTCTCTCTCAAAAAAAAAAAAAAGAACTCATGACCTTGTTTGAAAAGAAGTGACAAATAACGGGATGCCTGGGTGGCTCAATGGATTAAGCGTCTGACTTTTTCAGCTCAGGTCATGATCTCACAGTCTTGAGATCAAGCCCCATGTCAGGCTCTGTGCTGACAGCATGGAGCCTTCTTGGGATTCTCTCTCTCTCTGTCCCTCCCCTGCTCTCTCAAAATAAATGAACACTAAAAAAATAAATAAATAAAGTGACTAATAGCCACAATCTGCCATGGCTCCAATAAAAAGCTGCCCACCTGCCTGGATAAAGTCCCTTCCCATCCTGAAACTCTAGGACTCCACCGCTCATTTCCACTGGCCTTACTCCCTCCGAGAAGGACCATCGCTTGACCCCCCTCCCCCCTTTTTACGGAAGTGTAGATGACACGCAATGTTACATGAGTTTCAGATTCACAATGTAGCAACTCGACAACTCTAGACACAGGCACGCTCTCTCTGCACACCATCTGTCACCATACGATCCTATTACAACATCACTGACTGTACTCCCCAGGCTGTGCCTTACATCCCCGTGACTTAGTCATTCCATCACTGGAAGCCTGGACCTCCCTCTCCCCTCCACCGCCTCCCCTCTGGCCTCCATCAATCTGTTCTCTGTATTTACATCTCAGCCCTCTCTGAACACCCACCTGCCTTCATTTAGTGTTTGCTCATTACTTTCTTCACCCCCGATTTTCCCCGTTCTCTTCTATTTTTTTTTAAGTTTCTCACTTTTAATCCCTTTTCTTTTTGCCCATTCCTTGGATCGTAACACATCTCCTTAGCTAATAATCTCAGAGATCTGAGCACATATTTCAGAATGAGGCAATTAATCAGTGCCATGGCTCCTATTAAACCCCTTGACATGTTACTTGAGAAAAAAAACTGGAAAAATGGATCTGAGTGAGTCACGGTCTTGGACATTTTTTCCCAGCCGGTCTGAGGCTGTTAAATATTTAAAACAGCTCTTTGACTTTCTTTTCCACCAGATCATATATTCGGTCATAGGAGGACACGAAAAGACTGATCAGCTCAAGAAATCAATGACTGAAAATCAGATGCTTGAAATCTGTGCCGTGAAATCACTGACCTGTATGTACTTGAGCACCTAGCCTCCAGCCCAGACTTCCTCCAGGTCAACCAGATGGTTGACCCTAACCCTAACCCTGACCCAATCTGTCCAATTTGTATAGTGATCACTGTAATACTCAGGGCCTGACAAAGGCCACTGTGGGCCCTCCCCACCAAGAGCAGCCCGATCACCCGTATCCCAGCTAGTGAATCACGGCCGGCCAAGGCAAAGCCATTTCTCTCCAACACATATCCCCCCCGCCCCACCCCAGACTCCATTGCAGCCAGGGAGACATAAAAGAAAGTCTTCTGGGATAGGCTTTTCTCCTCCCCAGTGGAAACAAAACAAAAACAAGCATGCAAAGATGGTTCATCCTCCTTCCCACCCTCACGCATTTTGCCTCTGACAGGGTTCCGCGGAGACGCGATGCCTGGGGCCACAGCAGCCATGTTACGGCTAGGAGGAGCGAGAACACTGCAGAAATGCTGGCCCAGAGCTGATGAATGCACCTCGCGACCCGCTGCCTCAGACAACCTTCCTTGTTAGGTCATCAGGAAGGGCCTTTCTGCGGGAGTCACAATTAATCAGTGTGTTAACTATGTCGTCTATGTGTTGTTATCTGAGGCTTTGACATCTGGTGCCTTGCCGACCTTGAAGGGACCACATCTCTGCCAGGGTAACTCAATTCCTTTTTTTCTTTTTCTTTTAAATGTTTATTTATTTTTCATTTTTTTAAATGTTTATTTTTGGGAGAGAGAGAGACAGAGAATGACAGAGCACCAGTGGGGGAAGGGCAGAGAGAGAGGGAGACACAGAATCTGAGGCAGGCTCCAGGCTGCGATCGTCCGTCCCACGCGGGGCTCGAACTAACGAACCACAAGATAATGACCTGAGCCGAAGTCGGACGCTTAACCGACTGAGCCACCCAGGCGCCCCTCTGAGAGTTTATTTTAATCTTTGGTGGAGCTGGGGGCGGGGAGGAGGTCAGGACAGAAGTCAGAGATGACGGGTTCCAGCACAGACTGTTCAACCAAGTCACAACATGCAATGCCTCTTATTACTAAGGTCGGTTACATGCAGAGACATTAGGTACCTTCATTGGTCAGGGTCGCTTTAAAGATTTCATTAAGCTTTATTAACCTTCCATGAACCTTCCCTTACAGGAAGGGAAGCCTGGGTGGCTCAGTCCGTTAAGCCTCTGACTCTTGGTTTAGGCTCAGGTCACGATCTCACGGTTTCATGAGTTCAAGCCCCATGTCGGGCTCTGTGCTGATAGTGCAGTGCCTGCTTGGGATCCTCTCTCTCTCAACCTCTCTGCCCCTTCTCCATTCGTGCTGTCTCTGTCTCTCACAAAATAAATAAATGAACTTTAAAAAATCAATAAATAGGAGCGCCTGGGTGGCTCAGTCCACTGAGTGTCCGACTTCGGCTCAGGTCATGATCTCACGGTTCACGAGTTCCAGCCTCGCATCGGGCTCTGTGCTGACAGCTCAGACCCCGCATCGTGCTTCGGATTCTGTGTCTCCCTCTCTCTGCGCCTCTCCCCCACTTGTATTCTGTGTGTGTGTCTCTCTCTCAAAAATAAACATTTAAAAATAAATAAGTAAGTATAAATAAATAAAGGTTTCGTTATAGGGAAAATTATTTTCATGAGGGTCTTTACAGGAACCCACAATCCCTGAAACCACAGTAAGATCTTTCCCATGAGATCTCCAGTGACTCCGGGGGCACAGGGAACCTGGGAGTGAGCTGAAGCAGAGAGAAGACTGCGCTTAGTGCTTCCCTAATTGTGGAGTCCCACACACTTCCTGGTTGCTCCCGCATGGGGAAAACAGAGAGAGGGGCAGAGGGCCGGGGTCTTGCCTGCTGAGGCTGGGGGATGATGCTTTAGGCAGGGTTCAAGGTCAGGAAGACCTGGAAAGGGGGCCGCGGCACCAAGAAACACAGCGCAGGTTGACTCTCGGACACAGAAATGGCTGTAGAGACACAGGCGCACCCAACACGGCCCCGGGAGCTAGACCCCTGTCCTCGGATGGCAAGGTTTAAGCTGCTGGGTGGTGCGGGCGCGGGGAGGGCGGGGGGCACTTACAGAGCGCTTGTCGGCCTCGGCGCCTTGCTGGCCCTGCAGACATGCAGTGAGCTTCTTGTGCGTGCTGTGGGAGACCTGCTTCACCAGCTCCAGGCGCTTCTCCACCTGCCGAGAGAGCAGCGGAGGCGTCACCAGGCGAGGGCAAGGTCAGGAGAACAGGGCCATCCACCCAGGGCATCACGGGAGAAGAGCCGGCCCCGTGTCTGTGCAGAGACCAGCCCTGCTGGGATTCAACACCCAACGCCTTAGACAGCGGGGGGCGGGGGAGGAGCTGTAGAAGAGACTGCTGACCCCATGGGGAAGCGACAGCCAGGTCTCCTGAAAACTCTTACCTAAACCGGCATTTAAATTAATAACAGAGGGGCGCCCAGAGAGCTCAGTCAGTTAAACCTCCGACTTTGGCCTACGTCATGATCCCGCGCTCTGTGGGTTCAAGCCCTGTGTTGGGCTCTGTGCTGACGGCTCAGAGCCTGGAGCTGCTTTAGACTCTGTGTCTCCCTCTCTCTCTCTGCCCCTCCCCTGCTCATGCTCTGTCTCTCTCTCAAAAAAAAAAAAAAAAAAAAGCTAAATGTACATTAAAAACAAATAAAGTAATATAAAGGGAAAGAAGCCATGTCTAAACAGACTGCATGAGAAACGGTATGAGCAATTTAAATGGCACTGGGGGGGTGCCTGGGTGGCTCAATCGGTTAAGCATCCGACTTCAGCTCAGGTCATGATCTTACGGTTCGTGGGTTTGAGCCCCACATCAGGTTCTGTGCTGATGGCTCAGAGCCTGGAACCTGTTTCCGATTCTGTGTCTCCCTCTCTCTCTGACTCTCCCCTGTTCATGCTCTCTCTCTCTCTCTCTCAGAAATAAATAAAACATTAAAAAAAATAAATAAATGGCACTGGGAAGGACTACATTTTAATGGGAAGATGTATTTTGTTTCTATTTGCTAGGAGCCCGTGACAACCTTACCTGAAGAAGGTCTTCGCTCAGAACTTCAGTCTTTTCTGCCCTAAAGAGAAAATTGAGAAATAGATCAGTAAAAAAAAATAAAATAAGAACATAGTCTCCTACTTATTCCCCACTCCCTCATGGTGAGACTAGAAAAGCACACATTAGTAGCAGGCATTTCTCCCAAGAGAAAACACAGACGATACTGGCATTTACTGGGCACCTTAAATACTCTGGCCAATAAGATCCTCTGAAGACTCCTCTATTACGGGTCTGGACCTGGGGTGAAGGACAGCAAAACCATTTCTGTCCTTCCAGACATTCTTGTTTTTTAAGTAACAGCATTGAGCACATTCCCCAACCCGTACCCCATGGTCTCCCCAACACAAGCAAGAGAAAGTAACAGAAATCTGACCAGGAATCGATACATAGCAAACAAGGAGAAAACGTGGATTCCTAGTGATAAACGCAAATGCAACCATTGAGATCTGGCCATGAGTGTTAGGCACCTCCCCCCCCCCCGAAATTCAGGGGGCCAGGCTTGACCCTGAAATTAACACATCTGGAGAAAGAACCTGACACTGGCTGAAGTGGTCCTGACCTCTTAGCAACCCCTGCATCACATCCTTCTTTGGCGCAAAGTATTCCTAATTTATTGTCGTAGACAAGGTTTGGTCAATGATTTCTCTCCCATGGGCATGTTCTCTGTCATCTGTCTGTCTCCTTCTTACACTCACATGTACGAACTGCAAATTCACATGAAACAGATCATCAACACTAAGGTACAGAGGAAGAAAGCAGGACAGAGGGAGAGCCTGAACACTTCAATGACGAGAATTATCAAAGATGGTAACGTGTGTAGGAAATATTGAAGGACTGATGATACACTGAAATATTAGCATCAGGACTTCCACTTCTGGGAAGGCGGAGTGAACGCATTTCACTCATTTCCCCTTACTAACTAGAACCCAAACTCTGGGGCTTTGTGTTTAAAAAAGAAGGCTTTGCAAGGTGGACAGAAGGTAGACTGGCAAGTGACTGCCAGACCCAACGAATGGCATAGGGTGAAATATGGGGTTTCTGCTTCATATACTCCACACTTGGACCTTTAGAGGGTGTGAACTGAAATATCAGTGAGTGTAGACAAAACAGGTCCAACAAAAGCCAAGTCTCTGTAGGATCAGGAAAGCAGCAGCTTAGCGAGATGGAAAATGTTCACAGATAATAACTGCTCACTCCAATCAAATGCTACGGAAGGAAAAACTGTTGTCCTACGCTGCCCACACCAGCCAACACGGGGAAGGGCACCTAGTCTTTTGCCCTTGCCAGGCTGTAACAAAGCACCCAATCCTCCAATTCCTCTTGGCCAGTGCAGCATCAGAGACATTTGAGTACAGAGCTGGGACATTTGTCACCCTGGGACATACCAACGGAAACCGTACGAGCGGTCCACACATCCACACCTTCACCTTGAGGTGACAAAGCATCCATGTCCTTCCCTGGGAACGTGGTGTTATCAGGAGGCTTGGGGGAGTCCAGACTTTGACCACCATCTAGCAGTCAAAACCATCCTCTGGAGGGCATCAATGGAAGCCTAGTGGGGATCAATAACAAGCCACCCCCAGCCAGGGAGGCATCCATGAAGGCCTAATGGGGAGCCAGAATTCCCACTCTCACCGGCAGTAATGAGGGGTGTGGGAGCCCATGCTGGCCAAGTGGGGAATCAGGACTTCTATTTCCACCCAGCAGGAACAAAGCAGAATTCTCCCTTTCCCTGCTGGAATGATATTAGACGATATGAGCTAATAGAGAAGGTTTAGATAAAACCCAGAATCTCATCATATAACACAATAACTGAATATCAGTAAAAAATCATTCTACCAAGAACCAGGAAGATCCCAAGTTGAATGAAGGCGATCAATAAATGCCAACAGCAGAATGACAGAGATGTTTGAATTATCTGACAAAGACTTTAAAGCATTCACCACAAAAATGCTTTGATGAGCATGTATGAACGTGTGTGAAATGAGTAAAAAAAATAATACAAAGTCTCGGAACAGAAGAAAGATATAAAAAAGAACAAAAGAAAAATTTTAAAGTTGGAAACTGTAATAACCTAAGTTTAAAAACCCTGGTGGATAGGAGGCACCTGGGTGGCTCAGTCAGTTGGGGGAGGGTGGGGTCCAACTTTGGCTCAGCTCATGATCTCACAGTTCATGGGTTCGAGCACCATTTCAGGCTCTGTGCTGACAGCTCAGAGCCTGGAGTCTGCTTCCGATTCTGTGTCTCCCTCTCTCTGCACTCTGTCTCTGTCTCTCTCTCAAAAGTAAACACCAAAAAAAAGAAAAAAAAAAAGATCCATGAACTGGAAGAAAGCTCAGGAGAACTTTCCCAGTCTGAACAACAGACCAAAGGTAGAACAATCAATCAAACAACCCAAACCAAAGAATGAGGGGCCTGTGGAACTGCAGTGGAAGATTAAATGTTTAAGTCATCAGAGTCCCAGAAGAAGGAAAAGAAGTGGCCTGAAAAAATGCTCAAAGGTAAAATGGCTGAAAACTTCCCAAATTTGGCAAAAGATATAACACTCAAGAAGCTGAGCACATCCAAACAGGATAAACACAAAGAAGTCCTCACCAAGACGCATAGTCCGATTTCTGAAAACTAAAGACAAAGAAAGACTTGCGAGCAGTGAGACGAAATGCTACCTTACTGACGGAGGGGAAACAATTCAAATGACGGAAGATTTCTGATAAGAGACTACAGCGGACAGAAGGAATTGGTACACCAACTTTCAAATACTAAAACAAAATAACTGCTAACCTCCAATCTTCTATCCAATCAAAATATCCTTTAGGAATGGAAAAAAATCAGAATGTTCTTGGATAAAGGAAAGCTAACAAAATGTGTCATCAGCAGGCTCGTATTAAAGCATTGCTAAGGGAAGTTCTAAACAAATAAAAAGACATGGTAAAAGAAATAACCTTCAAATATCAGGAAGGAAAAAAGAACCGGGTGGTCAAAAATAGTAAATAAAATAGTCTTCTTTCTCCCCTTGAGTCCTCTATGTTGATGGATAAAGCAAAAAATTCATAACATTGTGTATGTGGCTCTAAATGTATGTAGAGGAAATATTTAATATAATTATATTTTATTTGGGAGAGGGCAGAGAGACATAAAAGGAAGGTTCTAGATTTCAATAAAACTGATAAAGATACCAGTAGGCTGTGATTAGCTATGTATATGTAATACCCAGAGCCACCACGAAAAAAGCTACACAGAAGATACACTCAAAAATGTTATAGAAAAATCAAAACGTAATTTAACCCAGAAGGAAAGACAAAACAATGAAAAACAGAAAAAAAATACATGAAGCAAAAAATAGTGGACTTAAGCCCTAAACATTCACACTTATGTTAAATGTAAATGGTGTAAATACACCAATTAAAAGACAGAGACTGGCAGAGTAGATTAAAAATGCAGTCTATGAGAACCTCACTTCAAATAGAATTATATAAATACGTTGAAAGTGAAATTGTAGAAAAATACACACATAAACGTAAGTCAAAAGCAAGCAGGAGTGCCCATGATAATGTATGAAGGAGACTTCAAGACAGAAAATGACCAGAGACAGAAAGGAGCATAATATAATCATAAAAGATCAATCGGCTAGGAAGACACAGCAATCCTAAGTGCATATGAACTAAACAGTCTTCAAAATATGTGAAGCAGAAACGCACAGTACTAAAAGGACACATAAACAAATCCACATTTATTACTGGAGGCACCAGTACTTCTTCTCTCAATAATTGATGGACCAGCTAGATATACAAAATTAGAAAGAATAAGAACACAGTAACTCCATTAACCAATAGAATTTAATTGACATTTATGGACCACTGCATTCAACATCACCAGAATACATATTTTTTCCAGGGCTCATGGAACATATACCAAGACATGCAACATCTGGGCTCATCAAACAAACCTCGATTAATTTGAAATAATTGAAATCACAGATAATGCATTATCTAACCACAGGGGATGTCAAAATAGAAATCAGTAACAGAAAGACAAGAATACTGGAAAGTCCAAATACCTGGGACACTAAATAAAACACTTCTAAATAATCCGTGGGCCAAAGAGAAAGCCTCAAAAGAAATAAATAAAAAGTACTGAACTGAATAAAAATGAAAATACAATGTATCAAAATGTTGGATGCAGCAAAAGCAGGGCTAAACAGGGAAACTGATACACTAAAATCCATGCATTAGGAAAAGAAACATTCTCAAATTAAACTTTAAGTCCCTACTGCAACACCTATAAAAAGTGAATTGAAATAAATCCAAAGGAAGGACACCATAAAGAGGGCAGAAGTAAGTGAATTTAAAATAAAAAATATTAATAGAGAAAAATCAATGAAAGAAAGAGCTGATCCTTTGAGAAACAAAGGACAATTGAAATACACTGTAGTCTGACTGCAAAGAAAGAAAAAGACGAATTACCAATAGTAAGAGGGAAATGGGAAATATCACTAGAGTACCCTGTAAATTTCAAAATGTCTTTGAACAACATTACACCTGTCAATTTGACAACTTACAAGAGATGGACTAATTCTTTTTTTTCTTTTTAATATTTCTTATTTATTTCTGAGACAGAGAGAAACAGCATGAGCAGGGGAGGGGCAGAGAGAGAGGGAGACACAAAATTTGAAACAGGCTCCAGGCTCTGAGCTGTCAGCACACAGGCTGATGTGGGGCTCGAAGTCACGAACCGTGAGATCATGACCTGAGCTGAAGTCGAACGCTTAACTGAGCCACCCAGGTGCCCTGGACTAATTCTTTAAAAAAAAAAAAAAAAGTTACTGCAATACATCCAATAGGAATAGACAATTTTAATAGTCTATAGTAGGGATTTAAACTTGATTAAGCACCTACCACCCTGCAAAATCTTCAGATCCAGAAGTCTTCACAAGATAATTCTACCAAATGTTTAAAGAAGCATTAACACCAATTCTACACAATGTGTTATAGAATACAGAAGAGGGGAACACTTCCCAAT